TCATACTTTGCCACCCAAAGTAAAAGTCAGTATGAATTATCTTTACTCAATGCCTTGGGTTGGAGTTAGCTGAACAGTGTAAATGTCACCTGTGAGTTGTGTGTCAGTATAAAAGAGCTGCTTCACACACTTCACTGGTGAGTGCTTATCAAATCCTGTAAACACAGGAGAGAAAGAATTCAAGGTTGCATGTTAAATTCTGGTGTTATACAAGAGAATAAACAACTACCAGCAATATCATGTCACGTACTGTAAGGATTAATTGGTGCACTTATTTTTCTTGGAAACACAGAGTTACTTCTGTTAGTTTCAAGCCTCTTTCCATATGAATGTAAAAACAGCTTTTGGTAGAAGATAGACATACTGAGGTGCTAGTTGTACCTACTAGTTATGTACTCATTAACAACTGTATGACTTAATCACTCTTGTTGGAGTGTATAAACAACACTCATTTGTCTACTTTTATTTCATTATTAAAATAATGGAAACCTGACTGCCTCTTGGAAAGTCATTGTTGCTGCCTAAAGTTTAATATTTTGCATTTGTCACTTGAATTTGCTAACAGAACGTTGATAGCAGTCATTCTGTTTGTAGCTTGCATTTGCACTTGATAACTTTTGATTCTTGAGAACAGATAATACGAGGACCTGTAGTAAAAAGTTACTAGGGCAGCATGGTGAAATTTTATTTCCAAACTCTGAGACCCTATGCAAATGATGCTCATTTAAATATTTCAGTAGTCATTCATGTAAATGTAAATTCAGTATTTTTCAGTAGTCATTAATGTAAATGTAAAACTCTTGGTATGACCAGTCCAAATTTCCTCAAGGCATGTAGACAATACAGTTAAGGGGAAAAAAAATAGTTAGGGAGTTGCCGTGCAATAATTTCCAATATGCTAACAAAACTCTGAATTCCAAAATTTGTGTATTTTCTGTAATTCCTGTGAAAGAACAGTTGTCAGGCTTTGGGCCAGCTTAGGAATGTTCTCATGCAGAACTTCTTGGGGAGGGTAGGGGAGGTGAGGTAAGGAGAAGTAGGGGTTTTTCTGAGATCTTCATAAGATCTCCAAGTCCAAAGCTCAAATGAAGTCTAGATATCACATAAGATGTGGAAGCCATTTCAGAGCAGATGATCTTTATAAACTCAGTAATGCTTTCTAGCAACTAATTTCACATATTCACTATATGTCCTTACTTATAGAGTAGGTTTAGATGACATATTATTAGGAAGAAATTCCTTGCTTTGAGGGTGATAATGCACAGGAACAGGTTGCCCAGAAAAATTGTGGATGTCCTATCCATGGAGTGTTCAAAGTCAGGTTGGATGGGGCTTTGAGCAGCCTGCTGTAGTGGAACATAGCGGGATAGAACATAAGTAAATAAAGGTAGTATAGAATGTAATCTTACCCCCTAAAGAGTTGCAGCTGAGCCAATTATTAAGGATTAGGAGCAGGCCTGATGTTAACAGGCCCCACCTGTAGCCAGTAAGAAGAGTGTTATAAAAGAGTGGATTGGTTGGTTGAGAGGATCTGGAGTCAGCTGGCTGCTGTGAGGACGAAGAAGAGGCAGTGCCTAGAGGAGCTGCCTACAAGAAACATCAAGGAGGTACAAAACTCTAGTCATATGGAGCCCTTGCAATGTAATTACAATAGAACTCTTGCACTATGATAATAGTGGAAGGTGTCTCTGCCCATGATGGGGGGCTTGGAACTAAATTATTTTTAAGGTCCCTTCCAACTTGAACAATTTTATGATTCTAATTCAACTGTATTTCAATATTTTTGCTTCTCTCCTTGCTCCCTTAAGTGAAACCTGGTTGCCTTTATAACCATTGCTTTCCCTTTTGTACCAACATGGCATACTACTACTTACTCTTGATCTAGAAAATTTAGATATATGGTGGTTTGGGTTTTTTTACTTCTATCTATATGTCCCCCTAATAACAGGGGACATAAACTCAATATGCATTAAACTCACTGATTAATTCAACAGTATACTTTTTCAGTAAAGTTTTTATCCATTTCTTCACATATCTCAATATTCTTCCTACCTTAGAAAACAAGTGCTCTTCTGCACACTTCATGATAAACAGCTACCAAATTTTTTTTCCATTCTCACCTTCAAATTCAATCTAATGTGCAGTAATAGAAAGAAATAGTTCAAATTATTAGTTTTAGTATTGCTTACCTTTTCAGTAGTAAATTTCTAGTTACTAATTGCCATACAGTCTAATACCACTACAGCTTCTGTAACAGCCATCAGTCTTCTCCCATTCTGAGGACTGCAAATAATGTGCCTTCTGTTGCTCATATCAGAATTTTACAATTTGGAACACCACACATTTACCTATAGCAAATTAATTTTTATTTTAATGCAGATTTTGGGAGAAGCAGCATTACGCTGATCTGATGTCCCTTTCTATTCCTTCTGAAGTTTCTAATATGTGTTTCTCTAGTCTTCAATTTTGTATTCTCTGAGTTTGTCAGAGTAATTTTGAAAAAAAGAGTTTTATTTTCTACCTTTCTGACCATACTGCAAGAGATATGGCCCTTTTGTTAATGTTATAGTTGTGTAACAGCTATTTAACTCCTTTCCTCCAGTGGGATAACATTGTTTCTATACTTTAGTAAGGGGGAGGAATGGTCTTTTTGCAGCTCACTCACTTTTTATCCTTTGTTACAACATTAAAATATCTCCTTCCATTTATTGTTCCCATGCCTGGGAGCAGGTCCTCCACCCTACCATGAAACTCCTCCTACACTTTTTGTGGTGAACTGCCAGCCCCAGTGGTTTTCCTTTGACAACTCACCAAGGCAGCAGAATAGAAAAGCACAAAGTGCAGTGGGATCTGCAGTGCTGCACCAGGCACAGGGAGAGCAGCTGCTCACCTTTGCTCTATCTCCCTGCCCAGGGGCTTCAACACCTCGCCAAGGGCAGGGCAGCTGCAGCTGTGCCACATCAGCTGTGACAGCTTTTAGGTTAGAGTGCCCTTGTAAGGTGGGCCAACTCCTTCCCCAGGTAAAATGATGAGCTTTACAGAAGCTGGCTTCAGAACAGCTATTAAAGAGAAAGGAGAAAAAAACCCCAAAAAACGAGCAAGAGAAAAACCCCAACCTTGTATATTAGAGTGTACCACCAAGGTGATGTAAGAAAAGGCCCATTAGACAGTGAGGACAATAAAACAGCACAAAGTAATGTTTCATTTTATTTGATAGAAAGTCACTTCAAAAATATTATTAATTATATACATTATTATATATGCTGTACATACAATTACATGTACAAAATTTACATAATGGCAAACATCCTTCTGTTACATTTTATAGATGGTAGTTAATAGCATGAGATAGAACTAACATATTTCATACCTGCTTTCATCCTGATCCTATCTACAAGGAATTGTTAGGTGAGAGATGAAAAAGGATAGCAAATCACTTAATTTGTACCCCAGCCCACAAACAAGTCTTCTCCACAGTGCATTCTATTAGTGCCTTGCACTTCCCTTCAGTGGTATTTGGCTGATAACCCTCTCTTCAGATTTTTTTTTTCAGTGTTCACCCCCATATTATTTCTAATTTATTTCTGTAACTCACATGTCCTGAAGTCCTCCTCAAATCAAGCTAGATTTCTTCAATATAATGTAATTTCATGTTTCCATTCTGATTAGTTAGTTGCTCGTTTGCCATGTTTGAAATAGATTTAGCTAATAGATTTAGCTCTCAGTTCTGGGAAGGACACTCAAACAGGAAAGCTTTTTATATAGTCCCAAGTGTTCTCTCCTTCCCCTGTCAGCACACTGGAAACCTGAAATCAGTCAGCAAGGAAAAAAAAAATCATAAAACCACAGAATATGTTGAGTTGGAAAGGACCCATCAGGATCATCAAATCCAGCTCCTGGCCCTTGGGATGTGCAGGACACCCCAAGAGTCACCATGTGCCTGAGAGCATTGTCCAAACACACTCTGAACTCTGCCAGGTTTGCTGCTGTGACCACCGCCCTGGGGAACCTTTCCACTCCTTCTCCTAAGGCTGTTATAAGGTTTGTGTGACTGCCAGCTGCTTCCTGGAAGAAGTGGTGTCAGATCCCAAGGGGAACTGCCCAGATACTGGGATTTTCCTGGTCCTTGTCCCATGAGGAATATTCTGCCTGCCCACCTTTTCTCTAAGCAAGGGGTAGCATACCAAAACACAGGGAGTAGAAGCTTCTGCTGAAGTGTCCTCCATTTCCCCACTGAAGGGACCAGGCACCCTTATCCTATGGACCTGATGGTCAGGGAAGAAGGGAGTAAGAGCTGCCAAACCAGCAGAGTACCAGCAGCAGGATCCCTGTGACAGAATGGCTTCCATAACTAAACAGGCTCTCCTGGAGGACTCTTCCCTGAGCTACAAAGGAACATGGCTCCTTCCATTGCCTTTCCTACTTTGAGAGGTTAAAAAATAACTGCTTTTTCCTGTGAATATCTTGAGAGTTGTAGTTTCATTGGCCTAAGAAAGTTATTTTGTTTTCTAAGTTAGTAGCAGCCCTAAACGGCTATTTCATTTCTTCCTCCCTGCTCATGTGGCCCTGTGCTTTCTACTCCTGTGCTGGCCACAGTCTTCATTTCACTAGGAGATCTTTCTATATTCTCTCCATATCACTATATCTTTTTTGCATTAATATACAATAACTTTCTTTGATCAGTTAAACAGTTTTCCCTCAGCTGTCAAGGTGAAAGCAAGGGGAATTATGGTTCCTCATATATATTCTTTTGGTAGCACTTTAAATAATGTTTTTTTTTCTAACTAAGGGGGACTCTACTTGTATTCTTCAGCACAAGTTTTAATTACTGCATAACATGCATCTATCTTATAACATCTTAAATTCAAATATATTAATATGCCTTCAATTTTTTTCTAATCTATGGGATTTTCATTTGTTTGAGAAAAAAGTTCTCAGGATTCTATCTCTGTCCACTGTTGGACACTACCATATATCTAGTTCAATTTAGATATTATTTCTTTTTTTATTTTATACTGCTTCTTAATCTCTGTTGAGCACATGAGCTGGAATGAAACACCTGTTATTCCTTGTCTGAATTCCTGAGATTCTGTCCACAACCCTGGCTGGGAGAGGGCGCTGGTGAGCTGCTGGCGAGTTGAGACTCCACCTTAGAAGAAGTGGGTTTGGGACACTCCTGCTGACCTTCTGGGGCGGGAGGTGGAGGAGTCAGGCAGCTGTCACTTTGCTGAAGTTGTGCATTAGCAGCTGGTGAATCATCATCCTGCTGGTCTTGTGTGCAAGGAGGAACAGCCGAAGAGATGATGCCCTGAGGAGCAGCTGTTGAACCACTGTTGAGACAATAATAATTCCTCTAACCCAATAATTTACTCTTTTGGCAGTAAAGGATAGCCAGCTTAGCTCGCCTACAGTACTCTTATAAATACTTCTTTCCCCTGTATTCACTTGTGGGTTAATTGGGATACAACAGGTGACATGAAAGTGGAATTGACTTGTCCATGCTGAGACAGAATAATAAGAAATGTAAATAATGTCAAATCTAAAATAGACATATTCAGCAAAGCAACTCCATGAAAAAAAACTTCTGTTTTCTCTACCTGTAATTTAATAGTCTTGTGCTGCTTTGTCTGGCACCAATAACTATTTTTGTGCAGTAATGTTAAGCTGGACTGCTTCTGTATTATGGACTTTTTGTACAAGATTATGAAAATATTTACTGGCTTGGTAGTGTGTATACCAAGTAGGTAAATATGTATTGTTACTTGAATTTTAAGACTGCTTTTAGATTTTATTACCATAAAGTAATATGCAGAATTACACAGCGCAGGCATTTTTTTAATGTTACTTACCAAAAACTATGTTTTTGAAAAGCACCTGAGTTAAGGTCTTTGCTTAAAATTGGCTTCTTGGTGCAATTGTTCAGTTTTTGTCCCATCATTCGCCTAATTAAAGCATCATCTGTGTTTGGAAACAACTGTTTTGTGATTCCTGCAAAATAAAGAGATGATAATATAGTTTTATGTATATGGACTCTCGAAATAAGAGAAACAAGAAATGTGTGATATAATTTCTTGCATCTTTTAAAGTCCCAGCCACTTCAGCTTCCACTCTAGTCACTTCGCAATCTTTACAAACTCCTTCATAGATTTTACACACCTCATTTTTTTCTTTGTGCCTTCCACATTGCTGCCTGCTCTTGGCAGACTGAAAAGGAACTCCAGGGCCACAAGTGAGTGGTTTGTGCTTGCTAATCATTTGTCCTTATGTTCTGTCCTTGATCAGAGTCCTTTTCCCATCCTCATCAGTCATTATGACTCTGAATCTTTTTATTTTTTTCTCATTAGTTTTCATTTGCAGGTGATGTCACTTTTTCTAAAAATTTCCCTCCTGTTTCACCTGGCTACATTTTTTGAATGCAATAATAACAGGACTCAACATGAGGAATGTGATTCTTGCTCCCTTCTTTTCCATCATCTACCCTCCCCTTGATTTCCCTGCCCTTTAATTTCATTTTATTTTGAAGTCCCTCAATTTCCATCTTCTTTAAATAATCTGATTCACTAACTCATTTTCTACAGTCCTAGAACTCCCAAGCTTCCTTCTCATTTTTCTCTTGTATAATGTTGACACTTTTCTGTTTAAATTTCAGATTAAATTCTCCTCTACCTTAACAAAGTTCTTTGATTTCTTTATAAGCTTTGTCACTGAATTCTCCACAATATGCTGAATTCCATCCTCTGATTCCCTTTTCAGTTTTGCCTAGGCCCTAGGAGGATTTAGAATCATTAAGGTTGAATAAAACCATTATGATTGAGTCCAACCATTTTTCTCATCCCATTAAATATTTTTCATTTTTCTTAAATGTCATTCCAAAACTGTCTCATCTTACTGCCTCTAAATATATTTTTACCATCCTACACACTCTTTCCTTTTATCTCTCTTGACTTTGGGCCTTTTTTTTCCTAACAAGGTTCTTAAAAAAGGGGTTTTTGCAACTGATAACTTTTGAAACTGATGGCTAACTTCAACAAAACTGTACTAAGGTACAGGAACTGGAGCTAAACAGAAGGAAACTAAGAGAACGGCAGAGTCCAAGGGAATGGCAATGGGGGAGGAATTATAGTACAGTAATTAAGGCTATATTGCTCTAGTATTTAGTTATAGGCGTGAATCCAATTAAAATTTGGCTTCATATGCTCACAAAATTCTGTTTTCTTTAAAGCTAATACTTACATCTGAAATTATTTTCTGTCCTATCCACCAAATATTTTCTGCTGTAAACCTCAGCATAAATCAAATTTTGTTTGCTTCTCTGACTGCTATTTCTGTCTTCTGAAAAGTCTCATTTTGCCTCTAGCTCTATTTAAAATGTCAGAATTCATAACATTCACTAAACTTCAGAACACAGCAAGCATAATTTAAAATTTCATCCAAGTGTGTCCTCTTTTTGCCTCCCCTTATCTGTTATCATTGTGCTCCAAGTTTGACTGTTGCAGGTTAACCCTGCAAGGGCCAAAACAATTTACAGCATCACTGTTCCTGAGCAGTCACCTGAATAAAACCCCCAGAATTCACACAGTAGAAATACTACCACATAGCATTTCACTGGCAGTATTTCTAACAGATGGTTTTAAAAAGCATGTAGCTGAAGAAGGAAATAGGAAGCAGCTCATCACCTGAGTGGAGCAGCTGCTAAGCACGACAGCCCCTCCCTCCAAGAAAGCCCCCTGTCAAGTCAGAGCCACAGTGAGTAAGGTTAACAAGTCGTCACCTATGATTTCCTGAACTTCATTCTGATTCATAGCTGGTTTTGCTGCTTTGTCCTTTGAAGAGGAGGACTTTGCACCTGTCAGGCTGTGTGTAGCCATGTATTCATGTGTATAAAGTGCTTGCATCAAGTCATTTATAAATTTTTGAGGTTTGCTCTTGTTACAAAGTGCAATCTGCCACTTTTCGATCTTGAACTGGAAAACAAAATTGGTCATAGGCATAATTACTGCAGTTCTCTAGAAATATTATATACTATTACCGCTGAAATATCTTTTTCGTTTTCTATTTCTAAACCACAATTTCAAAAGCAATCTCTACAAACAGTGTGCTTGAGATAACACCACTGCTCAGCATTTGATACTGTACACACAGCTTGATTATTTTCCAGAAGGAAGTGTGGGGCAGACTAAGGACCCCATGCAAACCCTTCACCATCCTCATTACTCACTAGTGGAGACAGGACACATTCAGACACAGCAAAATCCTTCTGCTTGCTCCTCATGCAGGCTGGCTGTGGTCCAGTTTTGGCATGGTTTCTGTACTGCCTTGGTAGCATGGCACTGTGCCCAAGCAAATATTCCTGCCTGTGAGCAGACATGCCCTAAGAACTGTGACATCTGGTCCTGGGCTTTGAGAGTGGCTTCTGCATGCAGCAGTGGTACAGCCAAAGAGTTTGAACTCTCCTAATAGGCAGTTTTGAGCTACCTCTATGAAGTAAGGCAGGCTGCTCAGAAAATTAGGTCTTTTTATTTCTTTGAAGATGTTCGGTTTCCAATATGCAGTCAAAACACACCATGATAATTCTTAATGGACTTCTTTGGATTTTAGCCCTCCATGACAACACACGGGAATGATTTGCATGGATTACCATGACCCAATGCATGTTTATGTAAATTGTGAATGCAGACATTAGAATTAATTCTTTTGTTTGTGCCTTCATTTTTTTCATGTACAGCCTCTGTGCCTTAGATTTCTCAATCATGTTCTGTTATAATTGTAGAGAATAAAGGAACTTCCTTACTCAGTATCTCTGTATACATGTATTTCTACTTAACTGCTAGCCACTGTCTGGAACAGGAGAAGAAGCACAGTAGCTGCCAATTACAAATTAACAGTTTGAACAGACTGCTGGTATTCATCTTAGATTATCTTGGAAATACTATTATTCCCCTTTGGCATCCAAACAATTAGGCTGGAAGTTATCCCTGGATCTTGGCATTTTCTTCATGTATCCACATTCTGCCCTTAGCTACAGATATGCAAGGTCACTGAAATGAAAGTGAATTTCAAAGTGTACAGGACACTGAATAAGAGCTAATGCTTCCCATGGAAAGAGCATTCTGCACAAAAGGAGCTCATAATTTATGTTATCAATGCAATGATGATAAATTACTTTACAGATAATTATTTTCTATATTATGCTATAGCAGTAAACGTTATACAGTATAAAGTTTCATGCCTGAAATTGCCTTTTAGCTGACCTGTTTTTCAGTCTGTTGCTCCTCATCTTCCACATTCAGAGTGATTGGTGAGCTGGAGTTACTATGCATAGCTGCATAGGAGTCTGCTAATGGATTGTGAGATGCCTTCCAAACAGCATGGGGATGCAGACTGGACGTGGATGATGTCACTCCCCCTTTGAGCAGCGCTTCAGCCATCCCTACCAGTTCCTCAAAGTGAGTGACTGCCTGTGGCAGCACTGAAATCACATGGAAAGGGAGGGGTAAAACAGCAATGGAAGCTTTCAGACTCCAATTACATAAGCAGAGATATTTAGCAATTAGATTCCTGTCACATAATGTAAAAGACTCAAAGTAGTCAGCAAAGACATTTCAATATACTTCTTTTTCCTCATCTCTCAAATGCTTTCCTACCATTCTGCTGTCCCCACTCATGAAGAGCTGGGCTCAGTTTCTAGAATAGATCAATTCACTGCAAGGCTAAGAGGAATTACTAGTTTATGCCCATCCTGGCACAAAACAGACTATTTTTCTTTTTTCTTTGCACAATCTCAGAATCTCTACAAGCCCATAAAGCTATTGAATATGGGCTAAATGATGTCTGGTTTTTTTTTTTTTTCCTCCAAAGAAGTTACACAAACGTCAGAGGCTTTTTTTTTTAATCTCTAGAGAATATGTTTTAAATAACCTTTTCTCCAAGTAATATTTTCAAATATAAACTTTTATTGCATCCATTAGGAAGAATCAATGCAAAGCAAAAAGGATTGAAGAGATAACATATCAGCAAGATACAGAATCACTAAATTAAATAAAATTTAATTAAAATTTAAAATATTGTAAAAGACTAAGATAATTGCTCAGGATGCAAGGTAAATTTACTTTTATGTGTGAGAAAAGTTGTCAGACACAAAGAAAACATTTACAAATAATACTTAAAAAGGTGGAGATGAATGATTCAAACGAAGATGAATAATGTAAGAAATGCAATCAGGTGGGAAATGAAAATGATAAACAGGTGCAAAATAATCTGACAATAAACAGATACCACCACATTGTCTAGGGATGGTATGGTGTAGCTAGCACAGGAGGGAGTAAATCCTCTTTAAACCTTATTCATTCACTAGTGGCTGCCTTAGAGTTGGGGACAGGGACAAGCCAGAGGCACTTCAGAGATGATCACTAAGAGATGAAGGGTTCATTTACAGAGGAACAAAATTTTTCATCTCTCGGAAAGAATTTAATTTGGTGCATCTGAAAACTAACTCAGATTTTCAGTAATGAGGAATCACCAAAGTAATTAGAAATTAAGTAATACCAGAATAAATGAAATATCAATTGATCAAGAAAGCCAGTAAATAAGGGTAGTTGGACTGGTCGGTGAAGTATTTGAGCTTAGCCAATGGTTACACAGAATACAGCAAGGTTCTCCTGGGAACAACTGGCAGGATTTAGACACATTTTTTATTTCTAACTCTATGATTGCATGGCCTCTGTGTAAGTCAGTAAGTGTTGCTGGAATTAAATGCTGCCATGTATCACAGACTGTGATGCTAATGGTAGGCCTTGATCATGTCAGGTGCTTGAGCATCCATAATTCCCATCCACATGGCCTCTTATAAATCAAGCTTTTCCTGACCTTCAGGCTTTCCTCTTCATCAAAATACTCCCACCTTTACCTTGAAGCATCACCAGGGACTGCCTTAGGCGGCAGTTTTCTCTCATGGTATCTGTCAGCTTCCTCTTGAGACTTTTAATTTTGGCACACAGTTCTACCTTGGAGAGTTGAAATAAAGGTTCTTCATCATCACTGCTACTTTCACTATATAGAAAGTTGCTTCCTGAATATGGTTCTCTCTGAAAAAAACCCCAAACCACTGTGATATCTAGAGCAACAACAACAAAAAATCAGAGCATCAAAACCAACATTAAAATAACTGGCTAAATCAAAAAATTCTCTTGTATAAACAGACTCAGTGCATTTTAATAAAAGCTTTTACCAAACATAGCTCTTCGTATTCTAGTTGAAATTAAAAATGAAATGTCATTTTAATATGTAACTGTTAGGTACCTTGGTCTCTGTTTTCTATTCACCAGTTTTCCAAAGCAGCATCTTTCAGAACTGTTAATTTCACTGTAGCAAAAATCTTATGCCTCCCTCAAAAATACCTTTCAGACTGCTTTTGCTTGATACATTGCTGAAAATGGATGTTTACCTGTTTGTTAATTAAAGATGTTTCAAGTTGACTCAGGATGTTGGCAGGAGCAGATGCCTGCAATGATTTCTTTCTTTTTATATGTTTCATCATCTTCCCCTGTAAAAAGTGCATAATAGTGCCTTTGCATTCCTACACAGCCTTTCATAACAGTATCTCATAATATACCATAAGTTTTTATTCACTGTGCACTTGACATTCTTGGTTAGTAGTTTTAAAAAATGTATCTGTAACTTTGTTAACTTTTATGTTTTCCTTGCCTATATTTTGTCACTGCAGATCTCAGCACAAGGTACACCTCAGAAATCCTGCTCCCTTCCCTTTTTCAAGCACTAGTCAGATTTCTGTCTTACAGGGGAAAATGCAATGGAGCTACAGAGCATCAAAGCCTTGAATTACACTCATGTCTTGACACAGAAAAGGACAAAATCCACTGGCCTAAGTAATTACTCTGACAGGTTATTGTGCTGAGGTACCACGAAGACTGCCTTTATTTACCATCCTTTGTGTGTTATATCATGAAGAATCAATAGTTACAGTCTATTTCATTCCTTTATGGACCTAACAATATAGGGCACAAAAAGACACAAACTCACCTTTTCTTTATCCAGGTCACTGTCCTCACTTTCTGAGAATATCATTTCTATCCTCTTCCTCTTGCCTTTTCCAAGGACTTGTATTTTTGTAATTTCATCTGCTCGTAATATCTTTTGCATCATTTCTACCAGCTCTTGGGGGTCATCTAAGTGATGGAAAGGAAAAAGGCCAAAGCACAGACAATCAGGCAACTATACCTTAAAAGCCGATTTCATATCAGACAAATGTTTTGGAACTGCACTCACCACTCATGTACACAACTTTCACCAGGTGCTTTTCTGTCTTTCTTTCTCCCACAGGCCAGTTTACAAGTACATGCTCATTAGGTTTCAGAAGCCTTTCTAGTTCAATGTCATCACAGGGAAGGTCCTGGATCCATGAAGTCTCTCCAATTTGCAGTGAATTATCATTTACAAAATCAAACAGTGTGAATTTTTTCATTGTTAAATGGCTTTCTTGTCACACAGACACTTCCTGAAGGACAACATAGGAAAAATAGTAGTTACTGTAGCATGCCACAGGGATGTTACAAGAACCCTTTGAAAAGCCCCAAACAACCCTCCTTTTGCTGGATATTGGTAATTGCCTTGTAGGAAAATACCCTAAGGAAGTGAAAACTAGCCAAGCAGTGAGTTGTATCCCACCTGAAAGATGGGAGATGGTCTGTTTAATACCTGTATGTCAGACATTTTCCTCCAAAACTATGCAGAGAAAACAGCTTTCACTCACAGAAATAATATGGGGTCCTGGCTCCCGTATTATTTCTATTTCAGTCTAGCTGGGATCTTGACTACTACTATATTTGTCTCAACAAAATTTTTAGTCCAGCTTCTGACTAAAAGATACAGGTTGATCTATACAAGGTGATAGAACCTTTCCCTAGAATGGAGGAAAGTGCCAGCTATTCATGCTATTCAGTGCAATGTATGGTTATCATTTCAGGGTCAGGAAGACAATTGCAGCCACAGAAAACCAACCCAGAACTACCCAGGACAACTGGGTGAGGTATGACACAGCCTGGCAGTGGAAAGTTTGATGCACAAAAGAAGTGACAGGCTAAGGACTGGAAGAGAGCTGGGCTGCTTCATGAGGAAAAACAGCAACAAGGAAAACCCAACCCCAAATATACAGTTAAATAATTTGCCTCATAAAACAATGCTTTTAAAGCAATGTGCTGTTTTGAGTTTTTTAAAGCACTGGATTTCTCTTCCAGAAGAATGGAATAAGTTGTACTTTGAGCTTTTTTTTCCCAATTAGAATGATAGCTTTTCATGAAAGTATAAACTCTACTGGAAATGTAACCACTTCTTTTAAGTGCTGCCATTATACTCAGAGAAGATATTTTCTACTTTAAAATTATTAAATCAATACATAGAAAATCTGATTTTCAAACCTGAATCTTCTTTCCAGCAAACATATGGTCAATTCATAAAGGTGAAATACTTTCACAGAGCTGAAAACTCATGAATTCCTAGATGTGACAATGTGATTTGCAATTGACTTGGCCTCAATCAGTCAGAGAGAAATTTAGTGCCTCATGAAGAGGATGTCAAAAAGGGAACTCAGAGCTAGAGAATATCTGGCTGCACTGCTCTATGAAGTAACGTCAATTCATTTGCAGAAGTCCAGTTTGCCACTATTCCACACGTCTGTTCTATGCCTCAACAGAGCTGGCTTTCCATACAGGGGTGAACTTGTTAATTTGCAAAAGACAGCTGCAGTCTCATCAACATGTTTACTGATACAATGGGGCAGGCAGTATAGATAAGAAATCATCATTAAAAGGAGTATTAAACCAAACTTCTATGCAGAATATATTTAATGTGACAGTAGTAGGATTGTAAAGTATTGCCTCACTGGAGAAAGGAGACTGTGTTTGCAAGAACTGACATTATTTTTCTTTGAAGATCAGAAAACATCCATCCCATGCAAATTCTGGAAGAGGAAGCAGCCTGAACATCTCAGCCCAGCATGACTCATTAGAGACCTCATTCTGCCACTGATCCCTGCTGGATGGATCCTCATACCACAGTCAGGGATCATTCAAATGAATAAACATATAAACAGAATCCAAATGAACAAAAGTTCCAGCACTGATCTCACTATGGACAGGTAAGGTCCAAACTGGAACTGTGTGTTTGTCTGAATAACAAAATATCAGATTTGAAACAGGTGGAGTATTCAATCAGTTGGGCATCAGTATTCTTCCTCCTTTTCCAAAATGCTTTTGAATTTATACTTCACTCAGCTTAACATTTTTAATCCAGCTCAAAGATGTGACTTCTGCCTCTGACCAACCCAGCACAGCAATCTACACCACCCAGTTCTTTGATTCTCAAATGAAGTACTTTGATATTTCCCCCCTTGGCCTTGGCAGTTGTGAGCTATTCTTTACCCTCCTAAAAGCCCACAAAAGAGCCACAGAATTGCAGCAGAGTTAGAGCTGCCAGTGTGCTAAGTCTAACAACTGATTGATTGGCTTCTATATTTTTTTAATGTTTCCCTGCAGTCCTCTAACAGTTTGTCTTTTGTCTCTCATTTTGTATTAAGATAAATATTCTCTGAGCCATGGGACATTCTTGTGGGCTGCACTTGCACAGGGTTAGTAAGCCAGCCCAGGGTTTCCAGAGGTACATGGACACACAGGCTTTTCACAGCATGCAGGGCAAGTGGTGATTCCCCACAGCACCGGAGCTAGTCACGTACACACTGTGCCAATGCCCTGCACACCAGTACCAAATCCAACAGCTTTTGGGAGGTATCACACCTGCCTACATTTTTAAACAGCTTAAGGAAGCCAATGCAAATGTGGACTTCTGGATGTTCAGAGTCCATGAGAGCAGCCTGGTACCACTGGTAGACGCTGTGAAGCACATGGACAACAAAATATCTCACAGTCTTTACACCAGGCAAACACCTGGATCCATGAAAATACATCCGGCCTCTTTATGCTAAGGACAAATTTTACCATGGCAGGACATGGAGCTCAGCAATTTATCTACATTATATATAAAATTCTTCTGAGCTGACAAGATTCCTGCCTGTGGTCAGAGTATGTTCTAACAGCTAACCAATTTCACTAGGGGCCTTTACAGCTGCCATATTCTCTCAGCATGCTGAGAGAAGGAATATCCTGTTGTTTATAAAGGGACCAAGGCAGGAAAAAAGTTGAGGGGCAGCAACAGCAACTGGCCAGGCCTCCTTTTCTCTGCTGCATCTCTACTGAACCTGAGCCCAACTGCTTGTGTTATGGGCAAAATGATGAAATCATTACATAGCCAAATGTGAATCATTACATTGGAACTGAGTGTAGTAGTTGGTTGCAAGCATTTTTATGTTATGGAGCAATGGCTTCAGCTCCTGCAGTAGACATTAATCAAACTATGTCTTTTCACAGAATTTATTGTGACAATCCATGGGCCCTGGGGATAACACCGAACTGTCTGCTGGCATCATCTCTAGCAGTGATTAAAGGGAATGGAAAGGTAGAACAAAATGTCACTAATAAGGGAGAGGAATAGTGAAACACTTCACTTTCTGGAAAAGAAGTCCCACAGTGTTTTCTCACTCTGACCTCCCACAGGAGCCAACGTGAACCTTGCTGGAGATGCTTCCCTCTAAAATCTTATTTGCCGAAACAAATCAAAGGCAAATTATAATGTATCATCGGAAAACAAACAAAATAAGTTGGGAACTGGGATTAATGTTACCAAACTTTTACTGCCTTAAAAGGGAGAGGTTGTCTAGCCACATTTGGCTCAGTCACTGCAGAAAGGGAGGTGATTCATCTCACCCTATGACACGTGTCTAAAAGACAGCAGATGACTTACTGTCTGGGAGAGCCTATTTCTCTCCACCAACTACTCCGTGACTATAAAGTTGGTATGTCTCCTTACAGAAGCTGGCATGGTCCAACCCATGTTGTATTATCTTTTTATGCTTTTGAACAGATTTTGAGTAGTGGGATAGATTCCAGTAGACCAGCAGAAATTATAGAGAGCTGAAAGGACGGCATAAGAAATCTGTTAAAGTGTAACTGGTTCTCTGTTTTAAATCTTTCTAACATAGTTCTGCAAGTCATCAAGTAAGATTTCTGACACTGAATGCTTTGTTCAGTGGTTCATTTGGAGGAAACATTATCATTCACAGGCATTACCCTGTGTGCAGCTACTAACCACAAAGACATTATATGACCTTTGAAAGCTACGTATGCTTTACAAGTTATTTAATTCTGCTACATGCTCCATTTGAAAACACTACTGATTTGAGCAATACTGAAATCCAAATTTACAATTTTTTACTATTCTAGGTCATTTGTAGAAGGGAAAAAAGAAAAAGGAAGGAGCCATATAATTTTAAAGTTCTGCAGAGGAAATATTAATTGGACTCTTAATTTTTACAAACATGTTAACACCTCACACACTGCACAAATGCTACCAATTTGTAATTGTGATATTGTTACTAAGCAACACAAAAAGCCAAAACAAAACCAAACCAAAACTGCACAAGAAACCCCAAAGCCACCAAAACTCCACATAGGTCACTTAACAACATATCTCACCCTTTGTCTGACATAGTCTGTTCTGTTCAGCCAGACAACTGGCAGATGGCATGCTGAGATCATTATTTCTCTTTTCTTTCAGTAAAAACAGTGCAAAGTGTTACAAGTTTACCACATGAGATTGTGTACCCACTTGATGAGTCTGATTCTGTTGGCTTAAAACAGGGCTTTGACACTGGTTTCAGCAAATTGAGGAATCATGTACCACAGATCCATAATTATGGTAAATGCTCAGGCTTGCTACAGAGTTGCCTTAAGTTAGTGAAGAACTGATGAGACTGGTTGAGAAAAACATGAGATGTGCCCCTGCCTTTCTTATACCTGGCTCGAGCAAGGTGTAAGGACTGAATGATGCCTGGGTGAAGTGGAAGCCTCAGAGAAGCCCCAGAGAAAACCTGCACCTCTCTACCAGCCACTCTGCATAAGCAGCCTTGTTATAAATGTGGTCCTGTAAGGAGACAAAGATGTACTCAAAGACTTTCTAGTGAAGGTCACACAGCCTTTACTGCCACCCCAGCAGGTGGAGGAGGACCAAAGTGTTTATTGTACCTTTTGTGTCAACTATAAATTCTGGCTGAAAATAACCAAGACACTCATTAAGCCCTATTTGCATATTAACTTTTACATCCTAAGAATGAAAATGAAGATAAATGAAAATACATCTTACATGTATGATCATAATGCCCAAAACCCCCCCTATGGCATAAAGGAAGGGGAGGTTTGAAGCAAATAAAGAAAAAAAAGAGAGAGGGAGAAACACCTCTCCTTGAAATTGGCTGATGGGCTGTCCTCCCCCCCTGAAGGGATGCCTCTAGGTGAGCTTTGTGCTTTCAATGCATTGTAAATTTTATATTTCTATCTATATATCAGTAATAGAGCTCTGTTACTATCACCTGCTGTAGTGATACACTGT